GGTTATATTTTTATATATTTATTCAATTTAATTTTTTTTAATTGGTTATATGTGACAGCCAGGTTTATGGAAGCAATAATCTTGTATACTGTTTGGGTGAAGTTTAATAAGAAGTTTAAAGATTGGCTTCGCCGTTAGGTGTTCATGGCCAGCATTCCGATATCGGACCAGAATATGGGTCAGATAATAGACGCCTGTAACGCCAGTCTGCAGCATGCGCCCGCATCCACCCCCTTCCCGAGGCTCTTCGTACAGCCCTGCGCCGCAGCGCATTGACAAGTGTTTGTATAGTTTTAAGTTTTTTTTTTGTATTCATTTTTATCAAGGGGGAAGTAATGTAGGTGTGCTGCGCACACACACATGTATACTTAGTAATCTTGTACCTATATACTTAGTTACTAAGATTTTTCAGTCAGTCGCTAGTTGCCAGCCAACTGTATCTACTGCACGTTCCTGTATAAATAAATATTTCATAAAAGTTATTCAAATTTTCATTATGGTCACCAGTAGGGACCCCTATTGGAGTCAGCTCCTAAACACGTATTTCAAAATAACACATTGATTTAAAAAACGCATCAGGCAAATATACGGTCGTCCGTATATTTGCCGAGTTCTATAAGAAAAAACAGCGCCATCTATTAGTTGTAAGATATTGTTAAATGTAAGCAATTTTATTTAATGACATATTTTTGACTTACCATTAAAATGGAATTTCATTTTTAAGGTACTTTTGTCGTAGTTTGCGTAACCCTTTACATCACAACTTCATTGATATTTTGCTACTAATTTAATTCAGCTTAAGACCATTTTAGTGGCACCATGCACCTGCAGTCTTTACGCCATACTATATAAGTCAACAGTGATGATTTCTTTCGACCTAGGAGTCCGTCTAGTTAGGTACCATCCTCTTGCCTATTTCTCCCGCCAAGTAAAAGTACTGGTACTGCTGTTGTTCGTTCTGATAGGCATAGGATAATATAAATACATCTGAAGCCAACTCTGAAGTTTGTCGCAGCTATCCGTAGGCTACAGAAACCACTACCATCATAAATAAATAAACATGACTCATGACGTAAAATGAAACAATTTTTACATTTCTAAAGTTTAATAAAACAAAATCGACACTAACTAATGAATTATACAAAATTTTATCGCATTTAACTTTAGCTTCGAGTGCTTTACGCCACATACTGTTTCCAGGAAATCCGAGATGTTTGACGTCCTAATGTTGAAATTAAACTCAATAAATCCTTAAATTACATAAATGGATTTGCAGTTCTTGATTAAAAATAAAATAATATCAAAAAGTTATTCAAAAGTGAGATTACAAAACCTTAATTACCACTGAAAAAACAAATTTGATGGAATAATATCAGTCCAACACGGAATTTGTTAATTCAGCCCTTACGTAGATTTTAATAGCTAACTAAAAATGAAGATTATATAAATGATAAAATAATTGCTATACCAAATCATTGAACAATTTTTTCTACAAATTATGGCAAAGTCACCACGTGTACCTACTAACTTCTACAGAACATTAAACTATGTAAGCTTGAACCGTCGTACAATCATTCTGCAGAGGACGAATGGATTAGAATGAAAGAGACAGGTAAATTTTGGGTTATGGTAAGAAATAGAATCATAAAAACAATTATTTTCCAAAGTAAAATTTAAAGTTGATAACAACATTTTATATTTTATGATTTCAACAAACTGACAAACTTTTCGTATAAGCATTTATCAAGCAAGTCAATAAACATTCTAGATATTAGAAATGTTTCTATTCATGAATCCATCCACTCTCTTCATTAGAACATAGCGAAAGACTTCGATTGGATCTGGCACAAAGCGCTTCTTTCGAAGCTACCTTCCTATGTGCTTCCCGAGAAATTGCGTAATTGGGATCACCAGTTTCCTTGCTGATCCGAACATCAAGATCGTAGTGACGGTGCATGCTCTGATTTCAAGCCTATTAACGCTGGTATTCCACAAGGCTGCGTGTTATCACCAACGCTGTTTCTTCTGCATATCAATGATATGTTGCAGTGACATTCATTGATATGCTTATATTTAACATAAATATGTTTTTACATCAATTTTACAGATATTTTTTTTATAAAAAGTTGAACTACTTACAATCCATCAGACTAACTGTTCATAACTTATAGCCAAGCATTGACATAGTATATTTCTGTAATTATACCTGATCACCCCCTAAGAGTGGTCAACGCTTGGCCATTAACAATTGTTGTTTGTGTCAGGTAAAGTAATTTTATTTGGCATAATCTATAAATATTTTTGATAGTTCCACCTCCTTACATAGGGCTCCCTTAACTTTTAACTAAATACATTTACTTTCAAGATTAGTCTTGAGTTGAATATTCATATTTAGTCTTTATAATTTCTTTTTATTTATGTATTTTATGATAACCTCACGTGAGTGGTCAAAAATAACTCTCCAACACACAATTTACATTTGAATTTCTTTATGTCACTATGATTCTTTATATACACAACGAAAATGATATATTTGTTGATAATTCACTCATAACCAGTATATCTCATTGTTAGTTACTTCTGGGGAAGCCATGTCTACGGGCCTGCGCTCACAGACGGCTCGGCATGGCACGGCTTACCAAAGGATTTTTTCGTGGAAAAAAAATTTCGATATTATTTTAATGATCTTAACACTAACATTCTTTTATTTCAATACGAATAACCATAACGTCTCGCGTGATACCACGGCATGCTGCGGCATGACACAGCATTCCATGGGATACCGCGGCACACCGCTGCATCACGTAAAACACATAGGTTATTTTATGTTAAGGGGATGTGAGTGCTAAGTAATACAAGGTTGAATCTAGCCCGTTGCAGCGGCAATCTCAGCGACTTGACTTGTTTGTCATGCCGCTGGATGCCACAAGACCCTTCGGCTTGTCGAAGTATGTCTTGCCACGCCGTGCTATGCTGTGCCGTCTGTAAGCGTAGGCCCTAATTGCATATGTGACATATAACACATTTTAATACACTTTTTATAGATTGGCGGGAAATATTACCATAGTAAAAAGAGAATAGTAAGCTATCTTCTAACAAATGTACCGAACGCCGCTAATATGTGTGTGTGTCAGGCACGTGACAGTAAGGACTCGTACGCATGAGCCACAGCACGCACATAACGACACTTGCTAAGTCGGAAAGGTCTGGCCGAGTCGGAGATGTCCACCGCCGCGCTCCTCAATCACCTTTGTTTGAGACTTTGTTGACTTTTAACAAAACTTCGCTGGCAGCCTTTTTTCGTTTTAAGTTTTCTTTTTGTAAAATATATTAATATATGAGTTTGTTTAAGTAAATTAGCTTTTTATTATTAGGTTATACTACTATATTTAAACATAAATACATAACTCATCAGTACATTAATTATCACATCACATCAAATTAATTTTAAACATTAAATCTGAGCTGACACCATATTCTCAGAGTTAATTTACTCGTTTTTAGTTATTTGGCATTTGTTGTAATGTAAAGTTGGATTTTGTTATTGACGAACATTGATTCTTTAAGAGGAAACTAAAGAAATGATTAACAAAAATGATGCACAGGTACGTATCCGTAGTATTATGTTTGTATTATAACTACTTGTAAAACTAAATGAGACTTAACTGTTAAACAAAAAGACAGTGACAACCCTGCAACAGTAGGCATTTAAGGCTCGCGCGGCGCTGCAGTATCCCACTATTCTGTTTTTTCTATGGTTATTACATATGTATGTATCTACGCACAGATTGAACTTTGCGTCAGTATAATGATTTCCTAAATTTACGCGAACACTACACATTGAATAAAACTAAATTTACGGATTTTATCGCGTTTATTTCACTACTTTTACTTATTTTTAATTCCCGACGTTTCGGGTGCTTTACAGCAACTTTGCGTCAGTATTATGTACATATGTATACTTATAAATCTACAAAAATCCGTAGTTGCCTATATGAGATATATAAAGTATAATATAGATAATTATGTTTATTAATTTCAGGTAACACTTACGTTATATATCAGCATAGAGTATTTGTTTTAATATCTTTTATTGTACTTCACTGCATAAGGTATTAACTAATTAATGAATGATTTGAGTCTGAGTGATTAGAATCAGTAACGAGATTATACGCAGTAAAATCAGAGTAACCAACATAAGCAATAGATTATAGTATGCTGATGGTAATGATCCTCAGACAAACAACAATGGTGATGATGGCGTTCATTAAAGTTATGATATTTAACTTGTGATAATTTATTAGAAAACAGGGCTCCTTTTTGTGCTTCTAGGTAGGTACTACTTAGTTACCGTCACTTTAGCAACTGTTGGGTTCTAGTGAGTAGTATAGAGTTGATATAGTTACATGTTGTTAGAAATAAAAACTTGCAGCGCACAATGTCTGCATTGACTTCATTGCATGACATTGCATTGACACACATCTAGTGAGCTTGTTCGGACACTCTGATTTTACAAATAATACGACTTGGTTCTTAAAGTGGTTAGGATTTGCTGCAAGTTGAACAAAACTGAAAACTATACCTATACATTTTTTATAACCTCTTTGTACATAAAATCATCAATTAATTGATTTTTTTTTACATACGTACCTAAATATAATTTTCGTATTTTTGCTGTTGTTGATTACTTTAATTTCATTAACATTAATTTTTATTTGATTCTTATTTATTATCTGTAGAAAAAAAATATACTTTTTAATTTTGTGATCAAGTAGTTAGACTAAAATATCGAAATGTTTTTTTGTTCTGTTCGTAATTCTTTCGTTCATCCATTTAGTCAAAAAGAGTTCCTTTGTGTGTTAGTTTTAAAATCCAGTAAATGATCAAAGATATTAAATAGTATAATAAATTTCACCAGAATGGATATGGTAGTGATGTATCTTACGGCGGAGTTGTCCGGAAGTCCATAGATCAGCGGATCCGGACGCAGCCCGGGATAGTTAATATCCGGTATTGAATATTCTGTAAGAAAGAAAAAACATTTAAAATCATATATAATTATAATTGACTGCATTAATAGTAAAGCTAGGACTTTTCAACTGCATTAAGACGTACTTGCTGCTGTACTGTACAATCTTAGAAGTTGATAGAAATGATAAAGGCTTGAACTGATTATGTAATTTATTCTGTTATGAATGAATGAATGAATATACTTTATTGTACACCACAAACAAATTTACAAAGAACATAACAAAGAGCAGATTACATGTACAATAGTTAGTACAATGCGCGACGGCGAATGATTGCGTACTGAATTAATGAGAATGAAAAATGATACCTACAATAAGGTAAAATACTGATGTACAAAAAACAGTACTGCAGGGTGAAAGAGAACAGATAATGATTGATAGGTGATTACAAAATGATATAAATGGATAATGATGATGATACAACAAACATTAGCTTATAAATTTCAATTAAATACTTAAAAATTTCACTCGCAAACTGTAGGCTACGTCGACTTATCCAGTGCATGGCTCGACTAATGCAGCTTGTTCTTTGTTAGGGCTCCAGCTAGTGAACTGTACATTCAAGCCAACTGATCTTTCGCTTTGAGAGGGCGCTAGTATACGTACGGTGCATCCGCGGTGTAGGCTCCGCAAAGCAAATAATGCTGATGCTAGTATAGCTGCTCCCAGCAAAAGATAAATTATAACCACATATTGATGTAGGTCATGGTTTGACAACTGTTCTGCCAACTCTGCGTCAGCGTCACTTGTCTTAAGCTGGTCTATTTGGTGTTTACGATTCTCCTCATTTTCTGACTGGTCGAATTTTTCAAGCTTTTGGAGAGGAATTGATAAGTTGTTAACATAATTGATTGGAGGTGTATTCGTGAAAGGAAAAGGGGAGATCTCCCGCCGGGCAAGGTGTTCTGCCCGGGGAGCGGCCAACGCTTCGAGTGGTGGAGTTCGGAGCTATTCTATATATAGTATATACTATTTGTACTTCGAAACTTTTTTAATAGCGTGATTTAGGCTTCGATGTGTTACACACACGTGTGCAATGCTTCACTGTCCGATGGCGAATGAATGATCTGCGATCGTGTGGGACCTCAACGCAATCACCCGGAGTTTCCCTTTGATGCGTGCTCGAAAAACCGACAATTCACGGATCGAGACGATCATAGACGATGATCGGCGTGTAGAGCCGAGTATGCCGTTTTTGATTCTAAGAGTGATAACTCTGATGTACCCGTCGATGCCCAGGTGTAGCTGCACAACTCAGCCAAAGGGCCAATTTCCCGAAGGAAGGTTTTCGTCCCTTATAATGACGATGTCATTCTCTTTGATATTTGGCTGCGGTTTTCTCCATTTACTTTTGGCTGCTAATTAGGTTAAATATTCATTGCGCCATCTTTCCCAAACATCGTTAAATATTTTTTGGATTAAATACCACTTTGTCCTTAAAATAGTTTCGGTATCGTAGATGTTCAACGTTCAACCAGGACCACTTGAAAGAAAGTGGGTAGGTGTTAGAACATCTAAGTCAAGATTTTCGGTTAATGCACATAGGTCTCGAGTTTAAACATCCCTCCAGTGGAGAAAGTAGGGTGATGTATTCTTCACTATTAGCGCTTGTTCGCCAACTACGAGCTTAATATTATATTTTAAGCTCTTAACCGCAGCTTCCCATAAGCAGCCCGCTGATTGCCAAGCGGGGGTATTAAAGTGCCATTCAATCCCCAAACTGGCAACTTCCGACACAAATTTTGAGCTGAATATTTTTTGAATCGCTGAATACTCTCGTTGCAAAATATGGTTAACTCCTACGAAATTGCGACCTTGATCACTGTAGATGTGTTTGGGAGTTTCTCGTCTTGCTGCCATGCGGCATAACGCTGCTAAAAACGTTGATGTTGTCAAGTCGGATGCCAGTTCCAGATGTACGGCTTTTGTGGCCATACAAACGAAAACCACGATATATCCCTTTGTAGTCTTGCCAACACGACCCTTGTTTGCCTTCACGGATACAAAACCGCTATAATCAACACCTTTATGAAAGAAACTCCTGGATGGATCTTGCTGACGGTAAGTCTCCCATGAATTGATAGTTTTGGTCAGGGTTGTTCGCCGACATTACACATGCAATTAGTGGTTCTGATACCGCAGAGCATCTAGTACTTTCGTCTCATGAAAGCCCTTGTTAATCGTGCCCCTCCGTTATAAGTGAGCTCATGTGCTTCATCTATGATAAGACTAACTAATCTTGAGTGTCTCGGGATGATAGGTGGATGCTTAGTTTCGGGATCGAGGTTAGCATTTTTAAGTCCAACTCGAAGAACTCTGTCCTTGTCCAAAATTGGATTCAAATCATACAGTATGCTCCTGCTATTCACGGTGTTTCTTGCTTCCAAATCTTTTATTTCTTTATAAAACTCCTGTTGCTGTACTTGTATGATAATTAAAACTTTCGCAACTCGCTACTCTGATACTGATAAACAATTTCCTTTTGACTTTCTACAAATAAATCTTAAAATTCAACCTAATACTTTGACGCATTTTGATAATGAACTGTAACTTTTTAATAATTGAAGAACTCATACTATTAATGACAACTTTTTGCGTTCTGTCACTTAAATATGAAATAATTAATTTAAGAGCATCACTTCTTACACCGTAGTGTTGAAGTTTCCTGATTAATGTTTCATGGTGAACATAATCGAAGGCTTTGGATAGGTTACAGAATATACCCAAAGCATCCTCTGAATTCTCCCATGCATTAAAGATATATTTAATCAGCTCAACACCAGCATCAGTTGTCGAGCGAACCCTTGTGAAACCGAATTGATTTTTTTTTAAATTTTACATTTGATCAAGAATAATTTTTTCAAAAATTTTACTAAGTGTTGGCAGTACAGAAATAGGTCAAAAATTAGCGAGGTCCAATGTACTGCCAAATTTAAATAAAGGTATTACTTTACTATGCTTCATTAAATCAGGAAACACACCAGATTTGATACTAGTATTAAAAATAATAGATAGTTGAGGTGTTATAGACGCAATAACTGAAACGGAAATCCCCCATAAATCGGCGGTTTTCTTAATATCAATAGTTTTAAAATATTTTACAATATCTTTTGATGACACTTTATGAAATTTTTGTACACGCATTTACATGTAGTTTAAGTAGTGATTCGGCGACGACAGGAGAAGAATTCAGTGACTTAGTGGTTAAAATCGGAATATCAGTAAAATATTTCTCAAAAACCACTACAACGTCCTGATCTGATTTAGTTAATTTGTTGTTTAAACTTAACTGGTAGTTTGAAATGCGAAAGTTCACCTTACCAGTTTCACTATTAATTATACTTCATGTCATTTTAATTTTATTGGAAGCAGTCTTTATTTTGTTGCTCAAATACAATGACTTGGCTATGCAGCACACTTAACAAATATTTTGGAATATTTTTTTTACATATTCCCTAAATTCGATGCTAGGATTATATGACCTTTCATTGTATAACCTTTGTCTACTCTTATGGACTCCTACTGTCGCCCATTCAATAAATGCCTTGCGATTGTTCAAAGAAAATGTTTTAGAAGTAAAAGTATTATTAAATTCATTGCAAATAAGCTTAAATAATGTTCCATACAAAAAATCTGGATTATTTTGGTATGAAAGTTTTTTTACTATGTTACTTATAAACTTCTCCAAGCGACGTGCATTTACTGGAACAAACACTACTTTTCTATCTACTTGCTTTTTGTGAACATAAGGTAACCAAACTAATTGTCCACATTGATTGAGAGCTCAGTTTTTGAATTATATATTTATTGAACGGCTTAACATTCGTAAAAATGTTATCTATACATGTTGCACTAGATTCAGCAATACGCGTTGGCAAAAATAAATTAAAAAGACCATAAGATTTAAACAATGATCTAAATTTAATATTGGTGGAGGAAGCTTCTAGAAGATACATATTAAAGTCTCCACATATTACGACAGATTTATTCCGTTTATTAAGCTTAGCGAAAACTTCCTCCATTATTTTATCAAAAGTATCATGTAAAGAACATGGGGGACTGTAAACGCTCAGAACAATGAGGTGCTCAATCTCAACATATGCTATTTCTACAGTTCGCTCAACAGAGAGGCTCACAATCACAATATCTTTACGTTCTTTACATGATAATGATTTACTACCTAAAATTAAGGAGCCACCTCTTAAAACTGTTTCTCTACTGAAAGAACTGACCACCTAGTAATTATTGAAGTTAAACATTAAATTATGAGCTTTCAACCAATGTTCAGTAATACGTAAAATATGAATATTATTGCTATTTAAAAACAATTCAAATTCAAAGGCAAAGAGCTATTGCCTATCATGCCTTGTATATTCTGATGCACCAGGTGTAAACGATTTTTATTATCATTTTGTGGAGTCATACAATTGCAGCTATTAAGGATTTGTAAGCTACATTCTAAATTATTTAAATAATTATAACTGCTTATAACTGCTATCTCATTTTCTAATTCAAATTACTTGTAACTGATTCCAAATTGCATGTCAAATCATTATGCTGCTCAATAGGAGCAGATGTCTGGGTAGCCATGTCCTTGGCTGAGTTAATATTTAAATAATAGGATAGCACATTTGCTATCTGTCTTAAATTATATTTGGATAGGTAATACGTACCTGTCTGTAATCAAAAATTTCTTAATTAAATTATTAATGTCTATTAAATTAATTCTACTAGTATAATTGTTGCAATTAAATGTCAAATTTAAATTATTGTTACATGACAAATTATTAATTAATAAATTTAAATCATATCTTATTTTATTCTCCTGTGGCCAACCCTGTATGTAAAGTTGCTATTAGACTCAATACCGAACTCTGATAATCCTGTATGATTATTTTTAAACTCTAGCCAATGCTGTCTTCTGCTGTCTTCCTTTCTGAGCTGTATTTTTAGAAATTGGTAAAGACATGCTCTATCGCCTGAGCGATTTGCAGCTGATTAACAAGGAAGTCGTCCATTTTCGACATGATAAACAGAAACAGAAACTTTTTTATTCAATGTAGATTATTAAACAATACTTTATTGAAAGTCAATTTTTTCATTTACCACTGGTTCGTAAAAAAAACTCCCCTGGGAAGAACCAGCAAGAAACCCAGTGGAACTATTTTTTTTTTCAAATAATAGCTTATACAATGTTTACAATTAACAACAAAAGACAAATTAGAAATAGCTTGGTAGCGATCACCCTTCCCAGGGGTTGTTATCATCCATAAATTCCTTAATATTATAATAACCCTTTTTACTTAGTGTAAATATTTGAACTTTGCGTATAACAAGTTTTGTATATTTTCTGGGATTTTGTTGTAAAAGCATATACATCGCCCCAAGAATGAATTACTGACTCGGTGGAGTCGAGTAACTGGTACTACTAGCTTGTGTCTGTTCCTAGTATTAGGAATTCTATATAGGATACAGAATGAATATCATTTATTTTTGCAAAACTACGTTTATTCTTGTGTACGTACATTACATTTTCATAAACGTATTGAGAGGCCAGAGTTAATATATTAATTTCCTTAAATTTTTGTCTCGGTAACTCTTTTGGTTTTAAATTATATATTGCTCTAATGGCCCTCTTCTGTAAAATAGATATAATTTCAGTGTCAGTCGCGTGTCCCCATAGCAAACTACCATACGACATAATGCTATGGAAATAACTAAAGTAAACTATTCTAGCTGTTGCAACACTGGTAAGAGTTCAAATCTTTTTTACAGCATATGCTGCAGAACTAAGTAGGCTAGCTTTTGATATATGGGGGAGCCATCGAAGCTTTACGTCTAGTGTGATTCCAAAAAAATTATGGCATCAACAAGACTCAGTTCTTCCCCATTTAAAATTACATTCGTATTAACATTTTTGACATTAGGAGTTACGAATTTCATATATTTAGTTTTAGTTCCATTTAAATGCAAATTATTAACATCAAACCAATTGACTAACATTATTTACTTGTTCGTAACTGTCGTTTTAATTTAAAAATTAATGAAGTATCATCAGCAAATAATACTATATCATGGTTATCCCTTACTATGTAAGGTAAGTCATTAATATATACAAGAAACAGAAAGGGGCCGAGAATTGAGCCGTGAGGCACGCCCATTTGTACAATCGACCCAGAAGAACTCATACTATTAATAACAACTTTTTGCGTTCTGTCACTTAAAGTCAATTAAATATGAAATAATTAATTTAAGAGCTCACTTACTTCTTACACCGTAGAAAAAAGAGAAAAAGGACTGATTTTACTTGAAATCTGCTGAACCGCGAATGTAAGCAGACTTGCTCACCGACTGATGATGACTAGAGACTTCGTTCTCCGGACACAGGCGTGCACCTTGATCACACACTGTCTGATAAATACTGCGTCACTGGTTTCTTGATAGCAGAGTAACAGTCACGCCAATACGCGCCACGTGTTCGAAAAAATCCGGTAGGTTACTGAGCGAAAACTCTGACACGCACACACCGCAATGCAAGAGAAAACGCGCCAAGGTCCCGCTCTTTCGAAAAGCTCGAAGGACCAATGTTCGGGGTAGTACCGACACTAAGGGGATGATATACTGATAACGCTTGATAAGTTTGATAAAATATATTGTGGATAAGTATACAAATTAAAAGGCTAGAACTACTAATAACGTAGCGCTCTTGATGGCTATAGGCGAACTGATTTTAAAATACATGTGCCGCTGATGTATGAGGTTATATATTAGAGGTTAAGTTGTGAAATGATGACTTAACAATTTTACGTTGCCTAACATGCTTGTACACACACTTACCATAGGAAATACTGCAGTATTGAGCTGCTTTTTACGCTGTTATTATATGAGAGCGTGGTCCTTCCCCAGTCGAGCTGAAGAACGTTATTGTAATAATTGATACGTACCTGGTTATGAGGAAGAGTGCGCATGCAAGCAAAGAGGCGAGGTGGTGGTGGAGGTGTTCGATTCTGGCGGGAGCGGCGCTGATGTGGTAGGTCAACTGCCCGCAGGCCGGCGGACACACCGGGGTTATCGTCTCTACACAACAGAACATGCCTTCAAGCAAAAACCAACCAATACAGTATTTTGTAAAAAAAAATGTAAAAAACTTTTCATTTAAATTTGACGCTTTCGTGGCGTGGCTTAACGATCAGTTTCAGCGCTGAGTGCCGTATATGTTTGAATCCCACACGGAACAAGTATTTGTATGGCCTAAAATAAATGGTTCAGGGTCTGAATGTTTGTCATTGTTAAATTATATTATACAAACTGCTCTACGATACATGGGAAAATCAGGGAGTAACGTTTTGAAAAAAGAAAAATAACATATAAATTGCCGATTTTGCAGTTATTCGCTTTTATTTTGCCCATTGATCTCTGCTGGATTAAAAACATTTCATTTAATCATAATGGCAACATTACAGTAACTAATTTGGAATAAGAATAAGAAGGTAATATAAACGCTGAACATCCAGGTATTTCCCACAGTCAACACTTTCGAAAACAACGGGATATGATAGTGTGACTAATTTTTACGAACACGCCTCACCCCTTTCTATGTATCGAATACATATATATGTATATCATATAACAAAAATAAAAAAAAAAAAATATATATATATATCTGGCGGGGAAAAAACTACCAAAAGCTTTGGTCATAAAATTTAACGCTTTCAATATGTCAGTCGATAATGCAAAACAGTAATTTCAGAATTTATGAAAAAATATAAAAAGCATATTCAGAAAGCATTAAATATAGTTCAACATTATGTTACAAATTCATCTCCCTTAGTCTTTCAATAAATAAGTGGGATTTTTGTAAATGTTATAAAAATCTTTACGCTCATTATAAAACACAAAACATTACTTTTTTTAAAATATTTTTTATCAACATATATCGTATTTCATAATCTCTTCATTTCAAAATATATTAAAAATATATTTCTATATCTAATATACAATTTGACAATATGTATCATCAACTTAAAAACAACAAATCACGTCAACCAATCTACTTAAATATCATAATCAATTACTACCATATTTTATGAGATAAGGTGATATGAAGAACAACTAGCTCACCAAATAGCTCGACCTGGCCCTCGGCATAGCCAAGTTTGTTCTGTGCCCTGCACGTAAACAGGCCATACTGATCCTTCTCGATTGTGAGAACGCGTAGAGTCGAGTAGATAACTTCGTCCGCAGTCGAGAAGTGGGATATACTGTTAAAGGAAATATTAGAAATGAGCCGAATGGATTTCACCGAATACAAATATTCGGCCGAAATTTCGGTAAAACTTTTACCGAACCGAATATTCGGCCGAACATTATTCATAAGGATCACCTCGGTACCTAACCAATTTATTTTGAAACTTGTTACCGAAAAGCGCGCGGGACTAGCGCGTGCCCCTCGCTCCCCCGCCACAACTGACACGTTATTGAATCATCTAGTACTAAGCAAATTGCCTGCACATGCTTATGTTTTGACTTTTTTGTGTGAAAAATATGGTATTTCGTTATGTTATTCTTAGTGAGATCTACTATTTGGACTTATTTTAGAGAAACTGACGACCAAAGTAAAGTTAAATGTACTAATATAATGTAATATTTCTTTCTTTGATCCCAAAAATATTTTATCATGCTTTCTATTTGCTATAATTGGAAATAAACCTCCAGTGCCTCAAAAACATAACACACAAGTAGATTTAACCCATAAATAACATATACTTTCAACAGTAAAATTATGAAAGAGATGGCGTTACTCAATTCGTACTTTTCAATACAGTGGGCAGCTTTACTGAATATTAGGTCGAATACTAATATTCAGTAAAGCTGCCTAATATGCCGAATACCAAATATGAAACGAATATTCGGCCCATCTTTAATAAATTAGATTCTGTGCAAAAGAGAGCCGATGCGAGACAGCCATTTTGGTTGCGGTATTTAATATAATGTTGGTCCTGTCCACATGGTTACTCGTTTATTCCATTTGGTATCTGTAGATCGTGCTACATGACCTGCCCACTTCCACTTCAATTTTTGAGAGTAATGTAATGCGTCTATCACTCTCGTTTTCTTGCGAATGTCATTGTTTTTGCATTTATTTTTTAGTTTTAGGTTTAGGATACTTCTTTCCATTTCACGTTGACATGGTATTATTCCTTGTTTGTCTATTGAAGATCCATATTTGGCAGCCATATGTGAGACAGGGAAGTATGCAGGAATCCATGACTTTCTTTTTTAAATTTAGCGGTAGATCTGCTTTGAGTACCTCTTTATGTTTCCAAAACTTATTCCAGGTTATAGCAATTCTCCTATCGATCTCGTCTTGATTTCTAGAAATTTTAAAAGATGTTTGTTTGCCTAGGTAGTTATAGTGATCTACATATTCAAGCTCTATGTCATCTACTTTTATTGGGTGTTTTGTGCTATTTGTGCATACCTTCGTTTTTTCAGTGTTTAGTTTTGTGCTTACATTGTTAATTTCTTGTATCATGGCTTCAAGCAACGCAAGCAAGGAAGACCGAAAGAAAGATGGGTCGATGAGATTGAAAAGACAGCAGGAAAAAATTGGTTAAAATAGCACAGAACCGAAAAGAGTGGGAAAAGATGGAGGAGGCCTTTACCCAAAGACCTACCTTTACCAAGGAACAGGTCCTTAATTGAAATATATATTTTATTTTATTTTCTAAGCGTACATATAATTGTTGTATTGTAAATATTTTCTATTAAGGAATAAAGAGGCTTTATTATTATTATATTATTATTTAATATAATGCAAAATTCTTAAATTAAAATTCTTTAAAAAATACGAGCAGAAAAAACATACCATAACAACATTAAGAGAAGAGAATAATTTTTAAGATTTTTAATTTTTTTTAAATAATATCTTTAAGTTATATGCTAAAGCTATTGGGAAAAAATTAAAAAACAAATTAAATCTCAATGGCGCAAAGAAGTACCCCCCCCCCCCCACACACTTTTGACATTATTGCTTATCTACCTGTAATGCTGATTATTTGACAACTGAGCTTCATCCTTAAACCAAGATATAGCAGGAAGTGGATACGCTTCGACACGACACTCCAGATACATATCGTATTGCAGCGCCTGGAAAAAAGGAGTGGTAATTTAGATTAAGGTATTACCACGTTATCGCTCCCTGAACATATGTGCGCACTGTATTTATCTTTATTTCGTTCTCTGACTCGTGTTTCGTGACTGCCTCGTAGCTCTAATGGTCATAAACGCGATTTACTAAGGTCCCTACTTCAAACCCAAAATCAGTTTTTGGGTTTTTCTGTCAAGAAATTCTCTGTAGCAGCCTAGAGTCAGGAAGTTGGCGATGTTTGACCACCGTAAAGTGTACGTGTGTGTAAGTACGTAAAGCCGTTTCGCCTGATCGCTCCAGTCGTGTCGGACTGCCGTCCCATCGGACCATGACAGTGAGGGAACAGAGAGTGCACCTGTGCTTGCATACACTCGGGCACTATCATTCTATCCTGCACATATGGCTAGTCTCTGTTGAGACTGGCCGCCGTTACCTTCCTCATTGGTAACATTTCCCACAGTAACAGCCCGCTTTAGACTATATATTGTTGTCACATTTCACTTGTCTCAAGCCCACCCACAGAACTCGTTGACTAGACCATCTCGAAAGAATGGGAGAGACTAGGGCGATCAAGTGGTCGTACTTAAGAGTGGCGGATGGCCGTCACTCCTAAGTATGTAAGTCAAGTGGTCGTACTTAGAAGTGAAGCCTCGCCGTCACTCCTAAGTTACTCAAGTGATCGTACTTAGGAGTGGCGGATGACCGAAGGTCAGTCAACCATCCCAGGTACCTTTAAAAAGATGAAGTAGCAAAGGAACTATGTGAACTTCAGATCCTAGATTAGCAAGAGTTTACACAGAACAGATCTAAATGGAAGTCTTATACTGTCGGAGGCCGAAACTCATTTTGCGTCACTATGCCACGTAGTCAGTTAGCTCACCTGTCCCAAGCGTGGACGTTCTACGGTGACAACGGGCGCAAACTCGACCTGAAGACTGATTTTCCTGAGGGCCCTCTTGGTCTCTCCGTTCTCTGCCACACAGTAGTACGTACCGCGGTCTTCTTTGTGAACAGAGTTCAGCTTTAGTATGTTACCCCTGGGGACAAAAATTTTTATATCATAAAGACGAATGAATAAAAAAACATTTGTGCCGTTCACATGCGGTAGAAGTGAAACGTCCAGAAAACTAAACTTCGAAGGATTGAGAAGAACCCAGAGTATCAAGAGTGGGATAATTGGAAGGTTTTTAAAATATTAATAAATTTATAATAAAAAATTCTATAGATGTATACGTTTGTCTCTTTTTAGTGTCGCTTTTTCGTTCCATCTAGTTTCAAATGACCAAAGAAGTTTCCTCTTTAAAAAATATTGCACTTTTAGTAATTAAAATATATTCACATAACAGAAATGTTGGGCTTTACTGTTGACATAACAAGGTCACACTACCCGCTCTCATTTAACCTGATATATTATTTTGCTACTGCGCTAAACGTGAACAATGCACATTAATATTAAGAGGAAAGACTAATAATGAATAAATCTGATGTTTAAGTTTTACGATATGTGTCTTGACTTGAGCCATTGAGGTTATATTCAATATTATGAGCAACTAGCTGTTACCCGCGGCTTCACCCGCATGGTCACTGGGAAATGAACTATCCATTGCTTTTTGAATTGAAAGAAAACTGAGTTTTATAGATTTGTCAGAGATGCAGCCATTAAAAGGAAACTGAGCAAAATTAATTCGTCAGCCTATTTAAATGTTTTGAAACGCAGCGTATAGGAAAGCAAGAAAATAGCCTGTTTATTCCAAATGGAAATGGGATATTTTTTTAATTAAAGGAAACTGAGCATAATTATCCGTCAGGGATGCAGACTTTTGAAAAGAAACTGAGCTAAATTGATTCGTCAGAGATGCAGTTTTCTGAACTGAAAGGAAACTGAGCCAAATAAAAGATACGTCAGAGATGCAGCCTTTTGAGTTGAAAGGATACTGAGCTTAATAGGTCCGTCAGAGGTGCAGCATTTGGAATTGAAAAGAAACTGAGCTAAATAGGAAATTTTGAATTTAAAGGGAAGATCTGTGGGAATTCTGATTAATTGATTGTGGGAATTTTAGAGAAAAAACTAACTAAACACTACTTTAAGACGCTACTGTACACAATGTTATATGTTTTTCCATTCGGGGAAAGAATGTGAAGATTCTGGGCATTTGACACACGCGAACATGCTACATACAGCTGACCATGAGAGAAGCACGGTTTTTCTAAGTTGACTCCGCTACCTGTAACGTTTGCCCTTGCGATTTATTAATTGTCATTGCAAAACTGAGCTTAATAGGGAACTGCAATCTTTTGAATTGAAAAGGAAGATCTGTGTGAATTATAGGGATCCGTGGTATAATAACATTTTCACCTTTTCCTACGCCTGTCAAAATTGTAGCACCGATAAGTATGTTCCGTCCAAGATGTGTCACACGCAGCCTTGTCCCGTTACATAACCGACGAGCAGCTAAATTTCGCATTAGCATGACTGGGACGCCTAATTTTAATTGAAGCTTATGTGAGGGCACACCTGACAACTCTAGAGAATTTAGAAATTCTACGGGATATGAAGTATTCTGTTCCGTGTCCATAACTGTGTCTACTGACAAATACTCTGTTATTTCTCCTGCTACTTCGCTTAATATATCTGAATTTATTTTATTAACGCTTTCATTTTTGGTGCAAGAATTGCCCTTTCACATAACCATTTGTCTTCATGAATGTTGTTCGTCAAATCTGAATAAACGCTCGCAATTAATTCGGAATGACTCTGTACTAAATTACAAACTCTCGTCAATTTAACGCAGCCCTCAGCATCCGTTTCCAACCGCCCATCGCCAATTTTTAATAGTGTGTCAGCATAGTTTCCAGCATTGATATCATTATACAAATGCACTCTCATATTCGTAGTTAAACTGAATTTTGTCACCTTGTTCCATAAAATAGACGACTTGAGGCATGCTTTAATTTCATCTGCAGGTGTGCCCTTTTGAATGACAGATAAAGTTTGGCGAAAGTCACCAGCCAGTAAAACCACCATTCCTCCCATTACATCGGTATTGCTGCGCAAATACTGGAGCGTTCGATTTAGTGCTTCTACAGATTTTTTATGCGACATTGTACTTTCGTCCTACACTAAAAGTTTGCATTGTCGTATCATTATACCTCGTGCACTATTTTTGTTAAATTTGCAGATCGGCGATTCTTCCTGGGCTAGATTTAGAGGGAGTTTTAAAACAGAATGTGCAGTGCGGCGCCCGCTAAGCAGCGTGGCGGCTATACCGGAGGAAGCTACGGCCACAGCAATGTTTTTATCTTTCCGTACTTGCGCTAATAATAAATTTAACAAAAATGTCTTCCCAGTTCGTCCAGAGACATCTAAAAAGAAAAGTGCACCATTTCCAGATTCAATTTGTCCTAATACTTTGTCAAAAACTCGTTTATGTTCGGGAAGCAAGCGGGGTACAAATTCGGCTACTTGCTGCTGAAAAGCTGGTATATCGTAGTTTGTTTCACGTATAATTTCATCACTTAGTTCATTTTCGGTTGTTCGCTGAGGGCTTATCATTCCAAAGTCGCTTAATTTTTTACCTACCATCGCCATTACTTTATCTTCAATTTTTCGAAGTACTTCATTATAAATGTGTTCATTGTATGTCATGTTTATATTTGTCCCACAATTCATATTTGTATATATGAGTTGCATAGAGATCCCTAATTTTGGCTGGTGACTGGCACTGCACAGCTTCCTCCATGGTTTTAATCCCAGTGATTATCGTTTTCTAAAAGATGCAGAGCTTCACATGCTTCTCTATAAGTTGCACATTCCTGACCGCTGACAGTTTTAAGGTCTTTATATCCTGTAGGACCCCGAACATGGTGCAGCGGCAATCGTAAACAGAAGCATTCAAAATTAGTTACATGAACGGTATACACACGACCAAGGGCATCCGATGACTTTACACCAGGCCAATTTGCAACAGGCGCGCCTTGAATACGGCGTTTCCACTTCTTCCTAGATGTTTTCGAAGTATAATAGCGGGGGACTGCAGAATATAACAACGTTTTTGCAAAGGGATCGGTTTGATAAAGTTGAAAGAAGACTATTAGTTAGTTTTTGGCGGTGATGCAATTCTTTATTGGAAATTTCTTTCGGTGAAATATACACGCTCTCCATTTTCTAAGTGCACAACAAGGTGAGTAACTGTTGGGTACCTTTCGTGTAAAGGGAAGCCAAGGAGACGCCACGCTGCCTCGTTACTGCTGACATAACGCCCTGCTTGAAAGGTCTGTACTTCATTAACGGGATTTGCCTCACCTTCACTCCTGAGATTAAATATGGCTTGGTCGCTTCCTTTATTTATGTACTTACAGATATACTTGATTTCGCGAACAGAGCTACATGCTTCTACATTAATGTGGGCATTAAACATTTTACATAGAATGGGCGAATACGGGACAATACAGCTGTTATCTAAGGTTTCGAACGCTCCAGAGCGAGATTTGATTGTAACTTTCCTGCCACCATCTTCGGGAGCTCTGCGTCTGTATAAAGGGTAGCCATTGTCATTGTGCACTGTTTCTTTTAATAGCTGTTTAGGGAGTTTCTTTGTACATTTTCCTTCTTTCATACATGGCGATATTGAATTTCGTGCTCCACATGGACCGTGAATCATATTTCGGACGATGGATATCATACAATTCTTTATCTTGCTCAGGATCCGGAATCTCGGCGCTTACTATGTCGTCTACTTGGCTGGGCCGCAACTTCTCTTTAAGCCATATTAGAATGTGGGCATGCGGTAATCCTCTATTTTTCCATTCAATTGAATATATGAAGCTCTGCACCTCTCCGAAAATTTTCCCTTTGTTAATTACATACATTAATTTTTGTACTTCTAATCTAAATACTCTAGCAACTAAATCGTGTCTGTCAGTACTTTTATGCACGGCATTAGCTCCTCGGTTATTTCTTTCCATGTGGGATTGCAAGTAAAAGTAACAAAAAGAACAGGTCTTCCGTAAGTTCGTACATAGGCGAATGCGTCTTGTGTGTACTCATGTAGGTAGCGGGGATCGTTGACGAATGATGAGGGCAGAATTACCATTTTACCTAAATCTCTGGGGTTTACATTGACGTCGCTAGAAACTGCATCTTGTAAATGTATATAATTCTCAACGCGCAGTCTTTTTTTGATTTAAAGATATATAACGGAGACGTTCACTTTCTACCTTCACATACATGTCTACCAAAAATTTATGAAATAATTTTCTACACCGGGCTAAGAGGTTAAAATCATTTTCTCGGAACATCATATGATACGCATAAAAATCCATACATGATACTGTTTTGTTCGGAGTAGGCTTCTTTGTGACCGGGTTGCTGACATAGGAGTTTCAGAGCCAAAATAGTTTGACCCTCTGCCTGTTCAAACGCCTTCGCTGACTTTGGAAGGTGTTTCAGAAGCTCTTAAAATACCTTCAAAGCTCTGACTTGGAAGGTGTTTCGGAAGCTCTTAAAGCAGCCTGAAGCTCTATCTGTTCAAGACGCCTTTGCTAATGTGAGAAGGTGTCTCAGGTGCTCTAAAAGCAGCCTGACGCTCTGCTTGTTCTTGCCTTCTCAGTTCAGCATCTTCTAAAGATTCTAGCGATCGAGCTAATTTTTTCGCTTGTCTTTGAGAAGATACTCTTGAAAGGCTGGAGTTACGTTTGCGAGACATTATGAAGTAACAAAAAACCTATTTATAAAAAAACCTTAAAATACCTAAAAGGAATTAAATTTCCTTTTAAATATTTTCTTTAAAAGCAGATCCAAAATATCTAAAAGGAATAAATATTCCTTTTAAATATTTTTTTAAAAACAAAACTACAAAACCAATTCAAGACACAACACGAATCCGAGAACAATAGCCAAAAAAAATCGAATCAACTTAAACCAAATCACAAAACAAATCGCAGAAAACCGAAATCGAAAGCAGTAGTCAATATAAATATAACCAACGAAAAAAGAAGTAAGTGTATAGGTACCGTATACACTATCTATACTATTAATATTCCTTTGAAATATTGTTAAACAACCTAAAACAACGAAAACCAGTTCACGATTCTAAATAAACAAAATCCAAAATTAAAGCCAGAGTCTAAATATGTATAAAGGAATACCAACCCAATCTGAACAAAACCGATCCAAGAAAATACACAAATCCGAAAATGAAAGCCAATATAAATCCATTCAACCTTAACCAAATCACAAAGCAAATTACAAACAACCTAAATCGAAAGCAGGTAGTCGAATAAGCTACGAAATAGAAACAATTTAAGCGTATAGGTACCGTATGCACTATAAGTTGACGTGCGGCTCAACGGAGGGAGTTAAGTACATGTGAGGAAACATTTCTTTACCGCGTTTTAAAAACCTAATAACGATATCTAGCGGAATCAATTTAAACTATGTATACGTTAGTTAGTAAGAACTCTCAAAAAATATTTTCTTATAATTTTGCAAAATTTTTCTTATTGTAATACCGATTCATTCATAACCACATATAAGAACTGTATTCATTTCCGTTCAATAAATATTACTAATGCTTATTTAGGCTTACTAAGAACTGTTTCTATCACAGTTAAGTAATAGTTAAGGGTGAAAGCGTGACAGGTGGTGATAGTATTTCTGATCCATACTTATAATCACGCCTGTAACCCTTGCGGGGTAGGCAGAGCATCAACGGATTACGTAATATCGTCTGCGAGATTATCGCCTATTCTGTGAATTACAATGCACCAAAACGTTTGAAGAAAATCAGCTGGTGAATTTTATGTTTTTTATCGCTCTCTTCCCGGTCCTGCGTGGAAAAATACAGATCCATACATGTTTTATCTTAATTTTGGTAAAAATACATAATAATCCAGATATCCTCCTATTTACTATGATAATACTACAATTCCATTCAGTAATTCTGTTAGAAATCTTGGCCTTCACATCGACAGCACGCTTAATTGGAGAACTCAGGTTTCAGATGTGAGTCGTAAAGTCAGTGCCACGTTATGCTCTCTGTATCGTTTAAAACATTTTCTTCCCACAAAATCTAAGATCATGCTTGTCCATTCACTTATATTACCCATAATTGATTATGCAAATGTGTGTTACCCAGACCTGTCCCAAGATCTTCTGAACAAGCTGGAACGCCTCTTCAATAACTGTATGAGATTTATCTTTGGGCTTCGTAAGTACGATCTTATTTCGCAATACAGATCTAAGCTAAATTGGCTTACAATCCGGCAGAGGCGCAACTCCAGAATATTACTTGAACTTTTTTTCCATATTAAATGATCCATCTTCGCCTTCTTATCTTAAGAGTAAATTTCATTATCCTTCCTCATCTCATGATAGGGTCCTACGCTCTTCTTCTAACAACAAAAACTGTACTCCAGTTCACTTCACCGAGTTCTATGGTAACTCCTTCACAGTTCAGGCTGCACGCCTTTGGAACTCCTTGCCCTATAATAATAAGTACGCTTTTAATAAGTTGGTCCGTGATCATTTATTAAAGACAACGCATTCTACATGACTCATCTATTTAATATGTATTGCCAAACAGACGTATATATTCATATTCATTTGTATATACTAATTATGTATGTATTTAAATATGTTCACTTGTATGTATATCCATTTATTTATATATTTGTATATATGTAAGTATAGATCATATATGTATAATTTATTTATTAGTAGTTTGTATATATTATGTAGTTAATTATCATTTGTATTGTGTTATCTTATTCTATATTATGATTATGATATTATATTTTGATAACTTGAACATAATCTCCATCTAGATTAATGCACTTCGTGTAATGATCTTCCAACATTTCAACTCAGGGGAAACAGGAAAAAGTCGCTGGGGCCTAAATCAAATGAATACAGTGGGTGTTCAACCACTTCGTAAAGTAGTGACTTCAATTTATCGGTCGTATCGCGAGCAGAATGAGCTGGAGCGTTGTCTTGGTGAAACAAGATTATTTTTCTTGCTAAATGAGGTCGTTTAGACTTGATTTCGTTGTCCAATCGATCCAATAATGCACAGTCATATTGCTTGTTGACTGTTTTTTCATGTTAAAGATAGTCTATGATAATTATACCATGTGCATCACAAAAAATACTGGCTAGAACCTTGCCAGCTGATTGTTGCATCTTAGGACGCTTCCTACGGCTTTCACCAGACCAACTGTCGACTGCCAATTGGACTTAGGCGTACAACGATGAATTCATGTTTCGTCCATTGTCACAAATCGTCTCAAAAATACCTTTTTATTGAGGCAAAATAGCTCGAAATTATGTTTTGAAAGATGAATACGTTTTGCTTTCTGGTCAATTATTAGGAAATTCGGCCCCCATCGTGCGCACAACTTTCGCATGTGTAAATTAATTAATAATGCGTCCAACGCATTACTTTGAGATGCATATGATGTTAGCTATCTCACACAATTTAATTTTGACATCATTATTTTGACGTTTTCCGAAGTTACTGCTACAGTTGGCCTTTCCGATCGCGGGTCATCACTGATACTCGTACGGTTACGACGAATTTCAGCAAATCAATATTTAATGGTTGAATATGGCGGGGCAGATTTATTATCCTATACCTTTAAATCTCGGAAACGGCTCCAACGATTTTCATAAAATTTAGTGTCCAGGGAGTTTCGGGGGCAATAAATCGATCTAGCTAGGATTTATTTTTATAAAATGTCTTCTTGTCCGTGTTTTCAGGCAATGAAAAACTGCTACAATATAAGAAGGTAAATTTTGACACTGTGTATATCAAAATAAAAATTACCGAGCACAAAACAACAACTTCACTACTTATACTCAAAACACTAATGATCGTAATAGCTCAAGTGGATATGAGCGGTCGCGAAATCGTAATGCCTTGGTTCGCGTCCTGTCTTCGATCCGATTTTTTTTCAAGTTTCCTTCTTTTGTGAGAAAATCTATTATTTCGAGCACTTTTTTTTAGTATTTTTTAATAATACAAAAATTTTAATTAAACTAATTGCACTCATGATTTTTTATTCAAATAACCAGTTCAGTTTTTTCTATTATGTCAATAAGATCAACAAATATTATTCATTAGTATGTAATTTGTATCTAAATGTAATTTCAAAAAAAAAACCGAGCAAAGCTCGGTCATCCGGGTACTAACATTTATCAAGCCATGCCTTTTGTTTGTACCGTATTTTTACCATCAAAAATAATGTTTTATCAAAACAGGAAATTCACTTTTTCCATTAATTACAATAATTCAGAGGTAGCGTCACTTCACTACTCGTCACTTGAAAATGAGCACACCAAATATCATGCAATTGTGACAGGATCTAAGTTTAGGTTAGTACCTACTCTACAAGGAGCACATGGTTTTTGAATTTGTGGCGCCATCATAGTCAGGCAAAAGAAATTTCAGCCCATGTTAGTATAAGCTAAATCTGGGGGCACGGCAGTGCCCCCGCCAAGTCGAGCAAAAAAGCGGCACGACGTACTATACTTTTCTCCAAGCAATTCAGGCCATTTTCGACGCCCTATAACTTCTCAGTGTATTAAAACATGGTATATTTCAAATTTCATCCAATTTGAACCAGTAGTTTAAGAATTATAACGAGTCAAAGTTTCTTAATTTTGTCACTCACTGACTGACCGATCACCAAAACTCTAAGACACTTCTAGCAGACATAGAAGCTTCAAATTTAGAATGCAATTAGTGTTTAGTGAATAGATCAAGAAAAAACTAAAATATTTAGCAATTTCGGTCCAGTTTTCTAGATACACTAACTGCATAAATAACTTTGTAATACTATATAAATATATAGAATTACAAAGTTACATTTGCAGTAAATAACTCAGTGTATTTGTATATGTATAATAGGTGTACATAGGTACGTTGTTGGTATTCAAGAAATAGGAGGTACCGGAGAGGTAAAAAAGTAGGACTATCTTATCTACAAAAAGAAATGAGATGCCATCAAAACATAACTTGTAAAAAAAACAAGTCTCGCAACTCATTTCTTCTAGCGTAAAAAGTTGTAAGATCCATGTAATACCAAGTCGGTTAAATTATTCAGTCCCTAATTAAGGATCATTCTGTTTAAAGTTATTACGTAATTAGCTAACCTAACAATATTTTATAGTGACCATATCAATGTTAAAAATCTTTTGTTTTAAATATATAGATTGACTTGGCCATCGCACTAAGCAATCTAATATAATCTAATATGTATTACTTGCACAGATTAAACTTGCACAAATTATTGTGAGATACATTGTATTTTCATGCGATGGCCTAGTCAATCTATATATTTAAAACATAAAAGATTTTTAACATTGATATGTTCACTATAAAATGTTGTTAGGTTAGCTAATTACGTAATAACTTAAAACATAAGGATCCTTAATTAGGGACTGAATAAATTAACCGACTTGGTATTACATGGATCTCACAACTTTTTACGCTAGAAAAATGAGTTGCAAGACTTGGTTTTTTTTTATTATTTACCAGTAAATAGATCCTCCTACGGGCAGAATAGCATTGTTCTCTCGGCGCCAAGAAATCTTCGGTGATGGGAATCCATCAGCGTAACACTCCATCTGTACACCTAAAATAATTATTATTTCATATCATTAAAAAGACAAGCAAACTAACAGTTTATGTGATTACGATACTGGCCATGGAGGACAACAAAAATCAACTTCTAATAAAGAGTTCTACAGGCACAAGCACTATCACTTTTGTGGACTAATGGAATGGTGGACTGGTGGATGCTTGTAAGTCAGAAGTATGGTGTAAAATAATTTTCATTCACCATAGATTACAAGTAACCATTTTATGCCTTTACTACGGGTTTGGAAAAACATTTGCTCTGAGAAGAACCGGCTGGAGAGCCAGCGAAATTGTTTTTCCAATGAAATATTGTTAATATAAATTAGATGAATGTCTAAAAGATAAGACTGGTTGGACCTAATGAACTATCTTAAAGTTTTTGTTTTGTGTTATATTTAAATTAAAAGGTTAATTTGTAACTGTTAGGAAAAAACTACTTGTGATTTTCACAAGTAATCTCTTTTTTTCATCTCACGTAGTAACTGAGTGTAACTTTTTGATTTAACCAATCTGAAAAATGTATGATATTCCAAGAAAAAAAGGAAGTTTTATTTAGAGTACGATCTTATAATTACTGGCCTCCATTATGCTCATTTGTACCGTGTAGTGGTGGTGTAAGAATATCCACTGCCCCATACCATCCCGTGAGAATCGTAAGAGGCGACAGAGAGAAACAAATCAGGAGATGGGCAGCAGCATCTTTCTTATAACGACTAAGAATAATAATACTGCAGTCGCAAACCCGCTTGCCAAACGTGGAAGCTACGGCAAATATTCCCTCTATGAGGTAATATATAGGCTGGCCGATGTTCAACAGTAGTGGACTTTAACAGGCTATAAAGAATGCTAACTTGTTTATCTTCCCTCAAATATTCCCTCTATGAGGTAATATATAGGGTGGCCGATGTTCAACAGTAGTGGACTTTAACAGGCTATAAAGAATGCTAACTTATTTATCTTCCCTCAAATATTCCCTCTATGAGGTAATATATAGGGTAGCCGATATTCAACAGTAGTGGACTTTAACAGGCTATAAAGAATGCTAACTTATTTATCTTCCCTCAAATATTCCCTCTATGAGGTAATATATAGGGTGGCCGATGTTCAACAGTAGTGGACTTTAACAGGCTATAAAGAATGCTAACTTATTTATCTTCCCTCAAATATTCCCTCTATGAGGTAATATATAGGCTGGCCGATGTTCAACAGTAGTGGACTTTAACAGGCTATAAAGAATGCTAACTTATTTATCTTCCCTCAAATATTCCCTCTATGAGGTAATATATAGGGTGGCCGATGTTCAACAGTAGTGGACTTTAACAGGCTATAAAGAATGCTAACTTATTTATCTTCCCTCAAATATTCCCTCTATGAGGTAATATATAGGGTGGCCGATATTCAACAGTAGTGGACTTTAACAGGCTATAAAGAATGCTAACTTATTTATCTTCCCTCAAATATTCCCTCTATGAGGTAATATATAGGGTGGCCGATGTTCAACAGTAGCGGACTTTAACAGGCTATAAAGAATGCTAACTTATTTATCTTCCCTGAAATATTCCCTCTATGAGGTAATATATAGGGTGGCCGATGTTCAACAGTAGTGGACTTTAATAGTCTATGTCCCAGCAATCCTTATTTGAAAACTGCAATTAAAAATCTGGCAAATTCTGTGGAATATAGTTTTTTCGAAACACTTTAGATTAAAAATATAAGTAACACCCTATCATTAAAGCTCTATAAAATATTTGGGATAATCTGCAACAAGATACTCCACTTCACCTTGCGGGTCTTCCAACAATTACATTTTTCTGATATTATACGTCAAATACCACAACACTTAAAAGGAACTTACTCCCTCCCTCGCTGACCGTGACTGAACGCGTCGAGTTGTCAGAAATAATCGGGGGACGTCGTACTTGCAGCTCCACTTCCGCGGTGATCTTGTTGCTCACCGATAGGAGCACTTGGCATTGGTACCAGCCCGCGTCAGTTTCTTGGACATCCTTTATCTATAAGGAATAGTGAATTTACATTAAAGTTATCAAATAGCCTCAAATGTTCCAATATTGTGCACACGCCCATCCCTTTTTTAACACCGACTTCAAAAAAGGAGGAAGTTCTAAATTCTATGTATATGTAGCTTCAACAATCTCTCGGAAAAGACTGAAATGATTTTAATGATTCTTTTTTTCTGAAATATTTATGTAACGAAAAGGGGACCTGGTGCACTTAAAATATTTTTTACCTGATCTTATTGCTCAGCTGAGAATCGAACTCAAGTCACAAAGTTTTAAAAGTCGAAAAAAAAAACCGATACCGATAAATGATCTCTACTTCATTTGAAAATTTTAACTTACCGAAAGCGTGTATGTGGATGATTCAGCATCAAACTTTGTGGATAATCTTGAATCTCTGATAATAAGAGCAGAGTTAGACGACAGTATTAATGCCTCTTTGGTGTTTAGTTTGTCATATTTCATCTAAAACAATAAAAAACGTAGTTGGTGAAAAATTCAATTCCTTTTTCAATTTTGTCATTAAAATAAATTATTGCTAAGAGAATACAATCATTACGTTTTAGTATGTTTTCATAAATATTTACCCTTTCCCTGTCGTATGAATCATTTATGAACATTTTGATTGTTGAACTATTGTGTCCATTTCGCAAACAGGGAACCTGATGAACGCCACATTTTGCTTAAAGATTTTGTTTTCAAAAATAATTAAATACTTTTTTTATTTCTAAACTATGAAATAACATTTCCACTAAATAAAATGAGTTACCTTTACATTTGCTATAAGATATTTAAAAAAAATAACGCGTTGTATATACACGTGGCATTTATTTCACAAAGCTACGTTGTACTCTTAGTGTAGTAAATCTGCAGCGTGAAATGTCAGCTCTGTTTCGTCAGCAACGCAAAGTCAAGAATTTGCATTAAGAAAAAAGCAAAAATTAGAGGCTTTTTAGTTGCTAATTAGGTACATCAAAATTTTCACCGCAACGAACTATTGAAATTTGCGTTGCTGGCAAAACATATCGCTAGCAACGCAGTGACGATTATGCAATAAATATTAATAGCAAGGAATGAAGTGCTATAAGATTACGGAGGTCGGATAGAGATGGCGGTAATATATTGGAAACAAGAACGTATTTTGTGTAGTATAATAACCTAATACATTACATTATTACATTAAAACTTGTATTTAGAGACTACTTTTCTATGAAGAAGTTTGGCATTACAAAATCTATACAAAATTCTCTATCCTGTGGTCTAAGCCAAACTCAGGTTTTACTTCAATATAAAAAGATTTTATTGTATATTGATAACAAAAAAATACCAAGCGGATGTCGGCAGCGTGAAAATCACAATTATTTCTATACGAAAATTTACGAAATTATTTACGTAAAAAGATAAATTATATTCATTAAAATTTTATAATAAAATACTATACTAAAACACTAGAAAATGCCAAAAATCAACACAATAACATTCACATGAAAATGGCGTACGAAATGAACGTAGATTATAAATAAATATTCATAGACTAACTGACTTTTTATTCCACTAGAGAATAAAAAATTTCATATTGATTCTATAATGTCAAACTTCTTCATAGAAAAGTAGTCTCTAAACATAAGTATTTATGGGTTAAAATTCTGTGAGTGGGTGCGCTCGGATCCGAACACTTGGGATTTGAGAGGTTAACTTAGCACTTTGATTTGATTTGTTACGAAAATGTTACACTGAACTTAGGACTTTTTCTTTATTTTGGAGGCAGTCTCCATACCCATGAGTAAAAAAAAACATAAATTGAATTCATTAGTGAATAGTTACTGTTAATGTAGACACAAAACGTCTTTGTACTGGTGTGCTGGGAGTTCGCTTACCACTCTATTTTAAAAAATGGCAATATAGCCATTTTCAGATTCTCCAGAGATTTAACACTATTTGTTATGTTGTATATACCAGTATACCGAAACAGAAACAGAAACAGAAACTTTTTTATTCAATGTAGATTATAAACAATACTTATTGAGTCACTTTTTGGTATATTTTAGTGTACCGCATATTGTAGTAGTCTTTTGGTGAGACTCCTTTGGCCGTATTTATTCATTGCAGCCTTTCACTAGTCCACGTCCGAACGTAGACCTCCCCCAAAGAATACCACACAACACGGTCCAGAGCGCGGTCAAGTAGAATTTAGTGGAGTTAATGTGAACCACACCATACAATTATAGACTATCAAAAGTATAATGCTGAACTGCCTCCTCCATAGATTGCCTTACACTAGCGGTATTTGCCATCGTTGCCACAATTGGCAAGGGGGTTGGCAACCGCGGTTTTTTTATTTTGTCGTTATTGGGAAGACGCTGCTGCCCATCTCCTGATTTGTTTCCTTCTGTCGCCTCTTACATTCACGGAATGATATGGGTTAGTGGATATTTAAACACCTTCACTACACGTTTTAAATGTAAATAGCTCTATGCAAAATGTTTCAGTAACTGTGTAAGTAGTTACCATCAGGTGAGTAGTATGCTCATTTGCCCCCTCTCCTATAAAAAAAAACTCTCGAATTGAATTTCTAGTTTTAAATGTTCACCGCCAAGCTTCAACTCAAAAACTTGTGAGAAAACATATCCGAGAAGATGAAATATTTAGAGGGCGTGTGATGTGAATGCTCTTGAATTTCATACCATCATATATACATAGTCTTCTCTCAGAGACAAATATAACATTTTGCTTAGAAAGGCTGCCTCGAAGAAACCTACTGTTGCTGATATTACTTGGTCTTTACTAAACCTAGTTTTACTGGAAAGCACTAGTCAAACCTAGTGGTAGCCTTGGTGAACAAAACGAATGCACTTTAATTGGTTAAATTATAGTAGCCGGTATAGCAGTCAATAAACCGCAATCGGCTGCACTTAAACTTGCGGGTAAATCTGGATGTACTGACACTTTGGAATTAGCAATGGCATATTATAATACACTGTATGTATGTATGTTTTCTTCGGCCTTTTACAGTATATAGTAAGAAGAAGCCTATTTACTTACGGCTTCTTTATTAGTAAGGACAATTTGCCAACGTCGCCTCACTTGGCAGTCATATTTCACAGTAGTGTGTAGTAGTACTACTACTAGTCAAGAAAGATAAAGATTAAAGATTCAATATGCTTGCATAGTGTACTCAACGAACAGACCAATTAAAACTTGAAAACAACTTACCCATAGCACTGGATAATCTTGGGCATGGTGTACTGAGCAATCCAAGTCAACCGATCCACCTATATCCCTTATCTGCTCTTGAGTGATATGAGAGATCGTTGGTGTGCGTAGGCCGGAAGCTGTTACAAAGACTTTTTTTTAATAATGTGTAAAAAAATTCATAAATACATTTTATACGTATGTTTCTTCCTGCCTTCTTTCACTTGCCTTTAAAAAACATGATTATTGTGTATGAATTTTGTAAAGCCAGTCAAAGTTAAAATACAAATTTTTTCCAAATTGTTCTTTACTTTTGGAAAGTTTCTACTGAGAACTACTGGCACTGGGTACTGCACGACTACTAATGGTAATTGATACTTTACTTATAATACACTAATGGTAATGAGACCCCATATCATCCTGTTGGTGTCGTAAGAGGCGACAGAAGGAAACAAATCAGGAGATGGGCAGCAGCGTCTTCCCAATAAAGGCTAAAATTAAAAAAAACTGCGGTTGCCAAACCACTTGGTGAGCGTAGCAGCTATTGCAAATATTCCCCATAGATCGCCTCAAAGGAGGGATTCCTTTGAGGCGATCTATGGAGAAATCTATTAGAAATAGAAATAGAAACTTTTTTATTCAAAGTAGATTATAAACAATACTTAATGAAAGTCAATTTTTTCATTTACCACTGGTTTCAAAAACCTCTGTCCTGTGAAGAACCAGCAAGAAACCCAGCGGGACTATTTTTCTTTTTCAAATAATAGCTTATAATCATGTTTACAATCAACAACACAAGACAAATTAGAAATAGCTTGGTAGCGATCACCCTTCCTTGGTTATTATCATCCTTAAATTCCTTAATATTATAATAACCCTTTTTATACAAACTTATTTTAATAAAATTTTTGAACTTTGCATATGACAAATTTTGTATATTTTCTGGGATTTTGTTGTAAAAGCGTATACATCGCCCCAAGAATGAATTACTGACTCGGTGGAGTCGAGCCATTATAAATATTATCTACTTATAATGGCTTGCACATTAAACGTGTGGCCAAATTTAAATATCTGGAGCATATTATCACAAGCGAGTACAAAGACGATGATGATATTGAATTAGAGCGAAGGGCTCTAGCGGTTGGAGGTAATGAGTTGGCTTACAGGTTTATTTGCTGTAGGGAAGAGGTAAAAATGTCGCCTTTTAAAGTATATCGTCAAAGCATGTATATGGTCAATCTGTGGGCCAACCACACCGAAAGTTCGTTGGACACCCTACGAATCCAGTGCAATAATGTCTTTAAGATGATGTTGGGTCTGGCATCGAAGCCATCATTCGCAAATAAACAAGCATCCTAAAGAAATTAGCGGATCGATTCACATCATCGCTCTGGAGGTGCTTTGTGCAAAAAGTGACGATCACCGGAACCTACCGTTTATCCAGATGGTCACTCTTAAACCACCAAATGTATCTTATATTTTAATATTTATTGTGATTTTTGTATCTTATTTAAGTTATTACTAACATAGTTTTAAGTTACTTTAAAGTTAGGCCCGAGTATTAACAAACGTGTATGGATAAAAAATAACATATAGTTTTTAACTCGAAAAGTTGTCTAAATCTTTTTAAATGAAAATAACAAAATATCTATTTCTTACTTTTTCAAAAATGCATTCATAAGGTTAAACGAGCGTGCGAAGTTTGTATGAAAAATATTTTATTAAGATTCACAGGCCAAACCGCTGGACGTAGGAGAGTGAATTAGGGTCAATAGGTTCCTTTATTATGTAGGAATCCACTAGGAATAAATTTTGTAAAATTCTACCCTTAAGGTGGATGAAAGAAGGTATTTCAGTTCGTATGAATGTTTTTATTTTACGGGATGAGTGATTCGAAACTTACTGAAAAAAACTGATCTTATCAAAGATCTAATTAAAAAATACTGAAACTAAACTTTGTCAAACTATTTGTGAACTATAAACTATGTGTAAACAAAAGTGTTTTTTAATTAACTTTAATTTCCCGACGGGCCCGTGGTCGCGAGGGCGACTGAGATGTTTGCCGTCCCAATGTCATAGTTAGCCTGGCTACCTTCAGTTTTTAATATTAACTTTGGGTCCGATCTACGCACAACGAGCTTACAGTATCTTGAAATCTTGCAGTGATATGATTGGTTTTGGATTTAATTTTGTTAATTATAGGATCCCAAGCAAATGGCAGTACCCATCCATCTTCGCTATTGAAATTGGGATGTTTTATAATTTCAATAGCTTCGCATATCATTCTTCGTAGGAATCGATAATCTTTTGCGAGGATTTGTGGTTTATAAAATCTGATGTAATGGTGTGTACGATCTTGAACATGTCCACAGACTGCACACTTCACGGAGCGTCAGTGCTTCACGTCAGCTATATGTTCTTTCACGCGGGTTTTTATAGATCTTTTTGTTTGTTCTCTATGTAAGAGACACCATACCACATTCACAATCTAGCTTGGACACTTCTGCGAATGAAAATTAGTTATATGTTACCTTATTTTATTTTGTCCCTGTCATTTTAAATATGTTATAGTGTTAGTACTATTATTTATTTTGTGATTCAAGTAGGGTGTCTGTAAATTTAAAAAATGCAATTGTCGTCGTCCATTTTTTTAGAATAACAAACAACCAAAAACCAAATGAGCACACAATCCACGTGTAAAAAAATCTGTGGAAAATATTTTTTCTAAATACTTTAAATTATAAATACATATAAGGAACAGCTTATAGCGAAATCTCTTTAAATATATGTAGTAAAATTATATAATTATATAAAATATAATTTAAAGAAAATAATTTTAATTTAAGTAAATTAAATATTGAATACGGGTCTTCCAACAAGCACATTTTTCTGATATTTTACGTCAAATACCACAACACCTAAAAGGAACTTACTCCCTCCCTCGTTGACCACGGGTGAACGCGTCGAGTTGTCAGATATAATCGGGGGACGTCGAACTTGAAGCTCTACTTCCGCGGTGATCCTGTTGCTCACCGACAGGAGCACTTGGCATTGGTACCAGCCCGCGTCAATTTCTTGAATATCCTTTATCTATAAGGAATATTGAATTTAAATTAAAATTATCAAATAACCTCAAACGTTCCAATATTGTGCACATGCCTAACCCTTATTTAAGTCCTTAAAACCTCCTCCTCTTCAAAAAAGAACGAAGTTCTAAACTCTACGTGTATGTTTTTTTGTATATTCACCAAACTCTCGGAAAAGGCTGAAATGATTTAAATGGTTCTTTTTTTCTGAGGTAGTTATGAAACGAAAATGTGAACTGGCACTTCAGACGTTTTTACCTGATTTTATCGCTCAGCTGAGAATCGAACTCAAGTTACACAAAGTCTTAAAAAGTCGAAAAAATATCACTAGAAAAATAAACGATCGTTTAATTCATTTGAAATTTTTAACTTACCGAAAGCGTGTATGTGGCTGATGCAGCATCGAACCTAATGGAGAATCTTGAATCTCTGATAATAAGAGTAGAGTAAGACGACAGCACGAAAGCTTCTGTGGTGTTTACTTTGTCATATTTCATCTAAAATAATAAAAAACATGGTTGTTGGAAATTTCAATTAATTTTTCAATTTTGTCATTAAAATGTATTATTGCAAGGAGAATACAATTACGTTTTAGTATGTTTTCATAAACATTTACCAGCCACAAACATTTGTAAGCAACGCAAATTTCAACAGATCGTTGAGGTGAAAATTTAAGGGCACCTAATTTTTAAACTTGCCACCTAATTGGGACCTAAAAAGCCCCTAGTTTAGGCTTTTTCTAAATGAAAATTCCTGACTTTGCGTTATGGGCGAGACACAACTCGAAGTGTCGGCTCGACCGGGTAGGACCATACTGGCACATAATACAAGCGGTAAAATGCTGCACAATGCTGGTGTGTTTTTAATGTTCAGGACGAGAGTTGAAGACTTTTTTCGCTGATCACAAGGCGTTTTATCTAGATCTCTGTGATGGCAACCCATTTGCCTATATATGTAGGTGTTTATGGACAACGGCGTCTATATAACATCAGGTAGGCTGTGTATCCGTTTGTCACCATTACTTCCGTACGTAAAATACACATTATACATCTATCTTCTTAAGAAACTTATCCTTTTATGAAACAAGAATGTATTTCGTGTACTAAAATATGAATTTAGAACATTGATTTACGAAAACGTTACACTCGTTTGAGGACTTTCTTCTGTATTATGGAGGCAGTTTCCATACATAAAGTCACAACCTATATACGTCCCACTTCTGGTCACAGGCCTCCTCCCAATTCTGAGAGGGTTTTAGGACAAGGAATTGTTCGCCGCGATGCCCTAATGCGTGTTGGCGAACTTCACATGTCTTCGAAATCTTGTTTTTCCTTATTTCTCAAACATGCAGGTTTCCTCACGATGTCTTCCTTCAGCACCGAGCATGTGGTAAATCAGGTCTTAAAATTGCAATTAACAACTTCAGTGGTGGCGGCAGGGATCGAACCCGGTTTGCTACCACTTCTCTAAATGTTAAATTTACAGCCTTTATTTCCATACACAAATTGCATTTATTGGTGAATAATTACTATTGTTATAGACACAAAATTCGGTTCTAATTTAAAAATTTTCTATCAAAACGTACGGGGACTGACTCACCATTCTTAAAGGCCTTATGTCATGAGTATGATATAATCTGTTATTCTGAAACTTGGTTACATTCGGGTATATTCGATTAAGAACTATTTGACGCACGGTATTATGCCGTCCTGATTCCTTTGACCGTATTCATTTGTTGCAGCTCTTCACGAGTCCACGGCTGATCATAGGCCTCCCGCAAGGAACACACGCACGGTCCAAAGCTCGCTCAAGTTGAACTTAGTGGAATTAATGTGAACCACACCATACCATTACAGCTTATCAAAAGTACACTGCTGAACATAGGCCTACCCCATAGATTGTCTCACACTAGCGGTATTTGCCATAGTTGCCACAATTGGCAAGGGGGTTAGCAACCGCAGTTTTTTATTTTGTCGTTATTGGAAAGACGCTGCGGTCCATCTCCTGATATGGTTCCTACTGTCGCCTCTTACGACATCCATGGAATATGTGGTAGTGGATATTCATACACCATCACACACGAAGTAAATACCGCAAAATATCTTAGTAGCTTTGGGTTTCGTCTCTAGGATTGAATTTAAGGCACTCTCGCATTAATTTCTGGTTTTAAATTTTCACCGCCAAGCTTCAACACGCAGGAAAACATTGTACGAAAATCTTTCCGAGAACATGAAATATTTATAGGGGGCATGATGAGAATAACCTTGAATTTCATGCCATTACCTTTACATAGTCATCTCTCAAAGACAAATATAACATTTTGTTTAGAAAGGCTGCCTCGAACAAACCTACTGTCGCTGATATTATACTTGGTCTTTATTAAACCTAGTTTTACTTGAAAGCACTCGCCAAACCTGGTGTTAATCACCCTAAATATATCGAATGCACCTTAATTGGTTATATTATATACATAGTAGCCAGTATATTAGTTAATTAACCACAATCGGCTGCATCTAAGCCTGCGGGTAAACCTAGATCTACTGACACATTGGAATTAGCCATGGCATATTATAATATTTGTAACAATGTTTAAACTAGTTTATTTTAAAATAGTCCTTAATTAAGGGTCCGTTTTTTGCAATTTGTAGTTTTTGTTAAAAATCTTTTCTCGGAGGTTTCGGAGCACTATAACATTCTTGGTGAATATATTATTTTCTCCTAACTTCTTTTTGCAGTAGTATGGTGCTCAAATATTTCTGTAAGGCTTTCCTCTTCTTACACCTCTTCACATATTTCTTCTTTTGACATCGTTTGCTCTGTTTTTTCAGTATTCCCTTCAACCCAAAAATTTTAATCTGATTTACTTATCTCCTGTCCAGAATATATCTTCTTCACGCATTCCTCTGTCTTCAGTCTGTTTTTCTTAAGATCGTGCACGCCCAATTTCGTATTCGTTCGCCAGTTTGCAGATATTTTCTCCACTAACTTTTTTAAAATCTCCATTTTCTCTTTCAATGCTAAAGTCTTATGTTTTCGTTTGCTCGACACCTTGATCTATGCTAATTTCATATCAAATCACTACTCGCGTAGCAGCAGGTTGATCTTTAAACGAGAGTGCGCATACGATCTTGTATGCACAAGCTTTCGCTCATACGCATCAGACATGGAGCGGCGGAATAGAGACGCGAGGCGTTAGCGGTGAAGTCAGGCTACCAGCCGGACTACTGGACGTGCCGGAGTAGTGAGACTCTACTATAAAGTACAAAGTACAAGGAAAGGCGCCTTATATGTTTTGTTATGAAATAAAACATATAAGGCGCCTTTCCTTGTTCATCGACCCCGATTAAAAAGTGTTGGCGGTAACATATAACGGAAGTCCAAATTACGTATCAAACGAAATAAAATAAACAATTTAATTTTTTTTTACTGACCGTATATTTATGGGAATAATTTTGTGTCCACACCTATACTGGTCAGAAAGTGGTAATCAGAGTATGTTCACCGATCTTTAGTTCAAATAGTGTACCAGTAGTGACAATGGGTACAACATCAATTTATTGTTTTGGTGTTTGTCTGCATTGCGAGCATCCCTAGGTTTAGAACACGGTGGAATATTACCAATAGATAAATGGAATTATTGACGCTGTTACAACACACGATAATATTATAATGGGTTAGTAAACAACAACAAAATTCAAAGATTATTAAAAACAAATAAAGCCATCTTGGAAAACAAGTAAATAACTGGTTGATTACAAAGGTTAAACATTATCGTGTGTAATCATAGTTGAATGACTCGACCAGTAGGTTATTTTTCACAGTTTAAATTATCTTAATTACAAGGTTAACTGTGTTCGATATATCGTTTACTGTTATTTAACCATTGCTTATTAATTCAAATTTTAAATTCACTCAAGGGAATAACACGATATAAATGAGTGGATAGACGAGAGTTCATGATTTTTATTTTTACTTCATAAGGCCATAAGCAAGTTTTTGGTATTCATGATTTGTTTATTTAAATTTTACGTCCGTTTTACCATTATATAAGACTTAATATTTCGAAACATTTTATAAGTGCAGTCAAACACAATCGACAATGAAATAAATCATCATCGTCATAATTTACCCAAGGAACGTAACAAATCCCGGTACTGAGCCACTTGCATCCATCGACTTCCTGCATGTCTTGTCAGGTCGTCGCTCAATCTAGTGGGTGGTCACCCTAAACTTCGCCTACCGTTACGAGGCTGCCATTTGAAAACCTTTTCTCCGCATCGGTTTTTTTATACGATAGGGTGACAAACGAGCACACAATCCACCTGATGGTAAGTGGTTACTGTGGCCCATAGAAATCTACATCTATCCTCGATTACGAATCAAAATGCAGATGCGCTGTCACCCGTGAGGACTTAGGTGGAATGCCCCGTTTCCAGTAAAAAGGGTCTCCGGTTCTCTACACTCACCATACGAAACACAGCAGCATTAAGCTACTATTTCGCGCTGGTATTCTGTGAGAGCGTGGTCCTGCTCCGATCGAGCCGACCCATTCGTGCTACAACTATACTACTAATATAACCGCAGCACGGCTCTACCACTAATAAAAGGTTGTCGGTTCTTGGAGCCTTATGGCCGGCCCATTGCCACTTCAGTTTATTGATCTGTTGGGCTATGTTGATAACTCTGGTTCTCATTACTAAATTTATCATGCAGAGAAACCCCGAGAAAAGCCCTCTCCATAGCTCGCCGTGCGACTTCGAGCGTCCTCATACGACCAACAGTGAAGGACCACGACTAACAACCATAAGTCATCACTAGTAACTTAACGCACTGGTAGTACAATCTCGTTTTCGGGTTTTGAGTTAAACCTGACAAGAAGATGTATCGTAATTTCCCGTACGCTGCCCAGCCGAGTTGAATCCTTTGATTGACATAGGTACGGTCTCGTACTCGTCAACAACTTCGAGCTTAGTGCTCTCAACAACTACCGCCGTAGGTGTGACATGGACGTTAGACATGATCTTTGTTTAGTCCAAAATCATCGTAAGACCTATCCGTTGGGAGACACTATTGAGGTCATTGAGCATAGTGTTTGGGTCCTCCAGCGATTATGCTATAAGGACTATATAATCGGCAAATCGAAGGAGAGTGATGTACTCGGCATTTACATAATACCGTATCCTTTCCACTTCAGTAGCTCGAAAATGTCTTCCAACGCAGCGGTGAAGAGTTTGGGGGATATAATAAAATGAATAAGCAAAATAAATCATATACGTGAAGAAAAACAATATTTTTCACCCATTTATTTCATGATAACACTGATACAAGACGGGGCAGTAGGGGCGATATGACTGATAATACAATTTTCTTTATAATCATGTTTTATTACTTAATGAACTCTATTAAAAAGAAATTACTATTTGAAATTAATATTAAATGAACATTAATAACACAGTCGTATTAATAACCACCTTCTTTGAATTGGTTAAACACAAGA